GCAGAGACATAAATATAAGTATTGGAAGGTCACCTGTTGATGACACAGCTGGTAACTGAACCCAGATCTCCTAACATCTGGTCTAGGGTTCTTTCCATGTGACCTGATGACGGTGGGCTTTGGGAACAGAAAAGAAGTGGGGCATCAGACATTTCAAGGAGAAAAACAAGACCACCGTGGGGAGGCCCAGCCCCCCTGGGAAGGCTGTTTACCCTTAGTTTGCCCAGTTGCAGCCTCTGACGTACCCTCCTCTAGTCCCCCTGTTTCTCTTAGCCTGTGCACGTGAAGATTCCTGTTTGCGAAGAAAAGGTGCGGATATGCTCAAGGATCCCCCCAGAGACTGTTATCTGCATCTCCAGCCCTTGGGGAGGAGCCTAGCATATGGCAGCTCCCTTATCTTCTACCCTTAGTTTAATGAACTCATACCCAGGTGATTGATCTCCTCCCTCACCGACAGATAGGGACCCTCTTTTACTCCTGGAAAGTGGGGGTTGAGGGGTTGGCTGGGAAGCAGCTGATTCAACTTATCTTCTCTGCTCAGATCCTCTTAAACACCCGATTCAAAACCTGGAAGGCCCTAGGCCCAGAAGGGACCGGTCCCCAGCTCTGCCAGTGTGGCCGTTTTCCTTGATAACAATTGATCATTCTCTAGCCTCAGCTGGAAATGTCTGATGTTTCCCTGACAATCCCAAGGAAAATGTGTACTGATATATTGATGTGCCTCTGCCCAGGAAAGAGGCTGCATCCTGGGGAAAGGAGATTTAAAGGGAGAGTATTTTAATTGGATTTCTTCATCTCTTAGCAGGATAAAGCCAACTTTTCTTTCCACAGGGGCATGCTGAGCCCTGGGCTGGGCACGAGGTGGGGGAGGGGAGCTGAGGCACGATGCTGAGGGCCATGCTGAGGGCTCTGCTTGTAGATATTCTGTCAATTTGCCTCCATAGACATGGTTCCATCATGTGCCAAGCCCGGAGGAGGGTGGTAAGAAAGCGCTGATGGCCTCACCTTTGCCTTCTAAGGCTTTGCTGGTGAGAAGAAACTCAGGCAAGACCAACCATCCCTCGTGGCAAACACCATGTAAGATAGGATGTTCATGGCAAATCCTCCACTGAAGCTTTTCTCCCACTCCCTAATATTCATATTTTTTGAATATAGAAATGTACATTCATTCATGTGCTCACTCAAGAAATATTTATTGCATGTTCTCCCGAACAAAATTGAATATGTGCTGAATGCCATAATTCAGGGACTTCACCTTATCTTTTAGGTTCCACTGGGCTTTAGCATGGCAGCCTAAGTCTCTGCATTTCCCTTTACATGCAGGTTTCTGAATTCCCGAATGTTTTCTCTTCGGTACCTGATTTTTCTATTTTAGTCCCAGTGAACTAGTGATGGGCATGTGGTGAGCCCACTGACTGGGAAATCAAGTCTCTCTACTTGTTTATCTAATTAGCAAAAGTCAATTCGTCTGCTGTCTGTTCTGCTATTTTTCCCACTCCTCTCTCTCTCTCTCCCTCTCTCTCTCTCTCTCTCTCACACACACACACACACACACACACACACACACTCTGCAACTCAGAAGAGAGGAACTAATTCCTATGCAGACAGATGGAATCATGCACAGAGAGATAAATTCACTCTGTTAGACCAAGTCCAGAGAAGGAAGGGACACCACGCCTTCCAGGTTCTTGGTCTTTCTTACATTCAGTATCTCTCCTCAAGGGAGTTAAGAGGCAAAGGGTTCAAGCACTATGGGCTCCCCCACAAAGACCCCCACCTTACCCATAAATCAGTTTCCAATCTAACCCCTCCCTGGGGGTTGAGTTACAAACCTCAGTAACCCCAAGGCGGCCTGCCTGGTAATTCCTATTATTCAGCTGTCAGCTGGTTTTTAAAAAACCTCCCTTCCCAGTGATCCAGTTACCGGAGTTTTAGAGCCCATTCCTTGTCTCAGAGAGAAATCCTATAGCCAGGTGAAACAATGGAGAGGGCTCCTGCCTGCTGTCTACAGGGAGCTGGGTTTTCTCTTCTGTTGAAAGCGTTCCCCTTAACTCTTCGCATCCCTCCCAGATTGTGGGGGAAGGTCTGCCTCCCTCTCGGGCCTGCACACTGATGCTGTTCAGAGCAACTTTGCCTTTCTCTGGGGACCCTCCTTCTAGAGCAAGGATCAGTCAGCAGGAGAGAAAACAAATTGGGGCAAGAGGTGGGAAAAGAAAGAGAGAAAGAAAATTCTGTGAAATAAAGGCTGCCGTGGCTGCAATGTGCATTCGCTCTAAGCCCAGTAAAAGCCCAGTGTTCGTCCATTACTAGCGTGCTGCTCTTGGACAGAGGGCTCAGAGCCCAGATCTCTAGCCCAGCATGTCCTAACTCTGCTGAGTCCGCGGGGTCTGGTAGGGGAGAAAGGGTGGGGTGGGGGGCGGGGCCTGCTTTGACAGTGATGAGAGGTGGGGAGTGAGGCTCCTGACCTCCCTGACCCCTTTATCCCTGACAGTCTTTTCTGGTCCCTCTGGCTCAGAAGGCTCGGCCCCTGCTGCTTGACCTTAGAGGCTGAGAGCACAGGAGGCCAAGCCACCAGGTGTCCTTTAGAACTAGCCTGAGGGAGCAGCCTGGGAAAGCCTGGGAGAGAGGACTTAGAAGAAATGTCGCTATAGGGTGTGGCCCTCCCTTCCTCTTGCAGACTGCCCAGACCCGCAAAGTGATCCCCTCTCCTCCCCTACAGTGGTGATTTTAAGTCTATTATAGGATCACAGACCCCTTTGGGAAATTGTTATAAGCTATGGAGCCACCCCTCCAAAAATGTTTGTGTGAACCCACATGGAATTTAGCCAGATTCAGGGGTTCACAACCCTAAAGCTGAGGAGACCCTGTGAGTCTGGCAAATACATGGATCTCAGGTAAACACCCTGCTCTACCAGCTTCCTGGCCCTGTGGACCCAATTCCACCTTACAGGGCTGTGGTGAAGCAGACAGCGCTTTAGCAGCTTGGGTGGGTCAGGAGAATTAGGATGCCCTCCGCCCCCTGGGGCCTATGCTGCCCCGGAGGACAAACTCAGAGCTGCTTTATCCTTCAGTTTCACTCTTTACCCTAAGTAATTCCTTTTGTCATCACTGGCCCAGGAGGAGAGCCATTAAGAAGGATGGAGGAAGGAGGGGAAGGAGCCCTGTGCGTGGTGAACATGATGAGAGCTCCGGAGAACGCTGCACAGAATCTGGGTTTGGTCCCTTCGTCTCCCCACACGTGGCATGAGTGTGCTGTCACCCTGGTGGGTTCTGATACTCCCTCTTGGCCCGGCCTCCTGGTAAAATAACATACCTCCTTTTGGCTGCAGCACCTCTTTTTGGATGTCTGTCAAGTCCTGGGGGGACTGGGCTACTGGCCAACCTTGACTCTCCCCTCTTTCCCTTTTCCCTCATCTCCGTCCTTTTGGAACAGTGTTTTCCTACTCTAGCACCACAGCCTTCAATATGCCTGGTTTGCCCTCTTTTAGGTAACTTTGAGGGAGCTAGGGAAAGAATGGGTGGGAAAAAAAGTTATAAGATGACTTCAGGCTCCTCTGATCTGAGGGTCCCAGTTCCACTTAAACCTGCTTGAGGTTACAACCCAGAGAGAGCAGCTTGGCAGTGAGAGGCCTACCAGTCCCCACTGCCCGGGATCAGGCCCATCATCGATCATCTAGTCTGTTGCAGGGACTGGCTCCCTCTCACTCCTTTCTGGCCTCTTCATCTATCTTTCCTAAAATTCAGGCTTGGCCAAGTCACTCATCTTCTAGAAAATCTTTGCTCGCCTCCCTCTGCCTCCAGAATAAAGTACAGATTCCCCAGCCTGGCAATCTAGGGACACCAACGTACTCTGACTTGAATCTACCTGTCCATGCCCACCCTTCCTAAATCCCAGCGTGCACCCAATGATCCCATCCTCTAACCTGCTCCCAGGACAAATTCCCCAGTTCACTTTATTCTGCTGCCCCTAAGCGTGGGCTGTTTTTTATGGTTTTCGTCTTGAAAAATGTCCTCATCCTTCAAGGTGCAATTTGAAAGCCATCTCCCTGAGGCTTCGGCCAGTCTTTGCATTCTGAATGTTTGTGTCGTGGAAATTAACACATTTCTTTCATACTGCTTTCCATTGTTTTCAGGTCTACCTCTCCCAGGAGATTGTAAGCTTTCTGAGGGCAGACACCAGGTTTTTGGTACCCAGCCCAGTACCTGGCACAGTGCAGGTGCTTAATGAATGTTTGTGGAATAGTCCACAGACTCCCTAACCGATAGTATGCGATTTGCAGGACACCTTGCTCTCCTGGAAGCACCAGCAGCACTTCTGGATAACGCCATAAACAAGATGTGTGTCAACGATCCAAGTAGTCTCTGCGTTCTTGATCTTTCCTCTCGTCAGCCAGATGCTTATTTTGTAAGTGTCCACGCCCAGTCAAGATAGAGGACCTAAGGGTCCCTTTGGATGTGTTTAATCTGAAAGTCACTCAGTAACAGCACTAAACACATGTTCTCAGGATTCCTACAGTTTTGGAGCTGGAGTTTTTCCCTGACTCGCTCGGTAAGTGGGAGGGGGCTTTGCCACCAGGCCAGGATCCACAGGGACCCACACCTGCACCCACTGTACGCTGCCAGTCGCGTCTGAAAGCTCTTTGCTGCCTCCCCTGCCCCTCCCTGTCTGAATGCCGTATTTATTCAGCCCATTCCCCGAGAAAGAAGACAAAAGTCACTTTGGCGCCCCCTCGCTCGCTCCTAATAGAAAGGGCTCAGGGACCCTCCTCCGCTTCCAGAGGCTGTGTTAGGAACGGAATCTGCGAGGACAACTACGCACCAGTTGCGTTTCTGGCGCGGGTCAGAATTTTGCTCGGCCCCTTGCAATATTTCCAAGGGAAGGTTCGTACATTTTTGACCGTCCCTGGCAGCCGCCCAGCCCGGGACTTGGGGCTTCACTCACCATTGGCCAGCCGTCGGCGTGACGCGCTGGAGGCGGGGCCTCATCAGCTGTTTGCGGGATGCCCGGAGCGGGCGTATTTTGGAAACAATACCGCGCGGTGCGGAGTGGCCTCCTTCCGCGCCCGCCCGCCCGCAGCCGCTGCAGCCCCTACTCGCGCCTCCCGCTTCCCGCAACAGCCCGGTGAGCGCCCGGGCGGCCGGGAGCCAGGCGGAGTTGGATCGCACCTCCTCGGGGAAGTGGGGAGAGGAGTCGCGCTGCGCGTGGGGGCCCGGGAAGGGTTGGGCTGCGGGTGTCTGGGGTGACCATGAAGGACTGGGGCGCTGGGATGCGGGAACGGGGTGCAGAATCCACATCTAGGTGCGCTGCTCCACGAGGCATCTTGGGGGTGGCAGCATTTGAGAGTCCAAGGAGTTGGGGCCAGGTGGGCAGGGGAACCTGCAGTGCACTGCTCAGTCCACCTGGTCGCCAGAGAACCGCCCGGCCTCTGGATCTTACTTTGGGGTAGGGCAGAGAGTTGTGGGGCGTCCTGCCTCCTTGCGGAGTCTGAAGGCCCCTCTCCTTAACAGCTGGGCTTTTCCCTCCTTCCCAATTGAGTCTGGGCGCCAAGCCCCCGAGTGCTCGTCACGCTGGACCCTGGCGCGGAGCCCTGGCATCACGACTCGGAGGCTGAGACTCTCTCCTGGAGTCACCCAGGTCTGCTGTGTGTTGTGTGAGTGTGGGAGAGAGAGAGAGAGTGTGTGTGTGTATACACATTCCCAGATTTTAGACCCTGTCGAGGTTCAGAGTGTCTGTCTACCGCCTTCTCCTAGGAGGAGGAGTCTTAAGTTCAGCATCCCTGTTAGAGCCCAAGGCGGCTGGGTTGGCTACAGCGGCTTTAGTTCTCCTTGCTAGGAGTAAAGCCTTCCCTAGCAATGTTCTCAGGAAGTGCTCCTCCTACCAGTATGGACATCACCTCTTCAGGTCTGGGGAGGGGGAGAAGAGAGAGGGTCTGTCTCTCCACTGTATCCCACTTTACACTTGACCATGCCCAACACCCCCCCGGAGGCTTCCACCTTCCTTTTCTGTAGAGAGTGGGAAGGGTCCCCAGGCTGGCAGAGCCACACCCTCTGGCTGTACCTCCCCCACTATCCAGGCCAAGCAGAGGTTGAACTTTAGGGCTTTGCTGAGAGGGGGAGGGGGAGGTAATGGGCTTCAAAGGAAGAACCAAGACAATGAGTCCTGCTTGTGATTGGCTTTGGAGGGCCCCTTCTTAGGTTGGGATTGCCAGCTTGCCAAGAGGAGGTTGAAGGGCAGGAGGGGAGCCCTTGCCAGGTGACTGGCAGGACAGCCTTTGGTCTTTTCAGCAGGAAACTTTGTTTCCTGGTGCTGATAAGCTGGAGTTCTCCCACCCCCGCTTTGGGAAACACTATTCAAAGAACACCAGGTGCCTGTTTTGCCATCCAAGTGGGCATCTCACTCTCCAGGGAAGAAGGCAGAGATAGAACCATAGCTCCAAGACTAGATGGGATGGAGGGGGACTTGAAGCAAGCATCTCAGAGAGACAACTTGGATTTGGGAAAGCCAGGGTTTCTGAATTCAACTGAGATTTCTTTAAGTACTTCACCAACCCACAGACCATTTGGCTTGTTCTTCAAAGCAGTAGGCTGGGAGGCAGAATTCCCAGGGGATCTCTAGTTGAATCTGGCAGTGACAAAAATTGTCCTTCTGTATCCTTAACCATTCAGGTGGTTGTTGCTTCTGGATGCTCCAGGGGCCTATGGGGTTCCTAGTGTGTGTGTAGGGGGCTGGGTTGGGAACTCAAGATGCTAGGTGGCTCCAAGGTCAGACTTCCAAGAGTCATCAGGTGAAGCGAGAGAAACTTCTTTATTACCAAGAAACTCATATCAACAACCTGAGTAGTATAGGCAGTGAGTGAGGTCACAGAGAAAGGGCCAAATTTCACTTCCTCCTGTGAGGCAGGATGTACCAATCTCAGGTTCAGCACTGGCAGGAATGGTAGGCAGTGGGGAAAGATTTGAAGTCATGGAGACTAGTGAGTAGACTGAGCTGGGGGAGTCCGGCTACTTTGCTGGATGCTGAGCCTATGCTCCAGGCCAAGCTGTGGGGGGCAGACAGCTCTCCTGTGCTAAGAGGGCAGCTGCAATGACTAATTTGGGTTTTTCTTCCCTCTCTCTCCCAGGACACACTCTTACCACACCAGGGAGCCTGTTTGTTGTGTTGAGCAAGCTGGGGGTGGAGACTAGAGTAGATGGGCAGCTGGGCGGGGCTTAGCAGGTTTGGAGGGAACCTGGCTGCCCTAGAATTGCTGGCTGGGTTTTGTTTTTATTGCTGAGCCTGGAGCTCAGCTCAGACTTGGTGGTTGGTTACTCCTCAGGGCAGTGAGTGGGAAAGAGAGAGAGTGTTGTGAGCACTGTGTGTACAGCCAGTCACAGCACCCTTCTGCCCTCCCACAGCCACTCACAGAGGCTAGTTTTGTTGACATTTCCCCAGGTACCCTGAGTGCTTGTAGCAGCTGATCATACCCCTGCTATTGCTCAAACTTCATGACTGTGACCAGCTGGGTCAGAAGAAGAGGCTGAGGGGGCGGTTGGCTCTGGGTGGGCTCAGGAAAGAAGTGTGGAGAGTCCCTGAACAGTGAGGCAGTCCACATTTGGGGATGAGTGTCACCCTTGGCAGTACTACATCACCAGAGTTATCAGCCATCAGTACCTGTCCCCACCTCCTGAGATCAGAAGGGAGAAGAGGGAAGAAGGAAGGGGAGGGGAGGACCCCCCTCTAGGACTCCCACTCCAGGGTTGGCCTGGAAGGGGATAGCATCCTGGATGCCTTATTACGCCCTAACAGGGGAGATGGATCCACCTCAGTGTGTGGAGGAGCTGGAGGATGATGTGTTTCAGCCAGAGGATGAGCTGGGGACCCAACCCGGGAGCTTGCCCTCTGCTGACCTGTTTGCCCCGAGCCAGCTGGACTGCCCTCTCAGGCGCCTGCAGCTCTTCCCCCTCACCCCCTGCTGTGGCCCTGGGCTTCGACCCACCAGCCAGGAAGACAAGGCCACCCAGACCCTCAGTCCAGCCTCCCCGAGCCAGGGTGTCATGCTGCCTTGTGGGGTGACCGAGGAACCCCAGCGACTCTTTTATGGTGAGTGCTCATAGCCTCAGGGCTCCTCCCATAGAGACTTGGGGAAAAGAGGGGACTTTCCCTCCCCAAACCTGCCTTTTGCTATTTCCTTCCCCAAAGTGCGCAGCAGGGGCTATTGATTTCCTCAGCTCTCACCTGCTGCCTGTCTGTTTGTCCTTGCTCCTTACCTGTGCTCCTTGGGCACCAAAAAGGGCAAATTGCCCTGCCATTGCTTCTTTTCTTTTGTCCCTTTCTGGAGGGATCCTTGGGTCCATGGTGTCTTGTTGGGTTGGAGAGAGGGTACCTGAGCCTCGGTTTTTACATCCTATGGCCCATAGTGTGGTCCCGCCTTTGTGCCCTGGTAGTGATGTACCTTCCATAAAGTAGCTAATGTTGCTCTGGAGAAGGCTGGGGGTTCTGTGACTCGCTGTTGACACTAAAGGGAAAAACCCAGCTGGTTCTGGGACAGAAGGTTCCTGAAGGCAGAAGGTGGCCCCCAGTTGTCACTTGGGACTTTCTGTGCTTGGCAGGGGAACTGGAAAAAGATGTTGGGACTGCCTGGGCTCAATGCCAGCAGAGGGGCTATATCCAAGGCTCAGTAGGACAAGACCCCTTCATTTGTGGACTTAAATGGTTTGTTTTATGAGCAATATGCCCTCTTCTGGCAAAAGGGCAAGGTTAGACACTGTCTGATTTCTTCTTTTAGCACAATAGCTTATGGAGGGAGGGGAAGGGTCCAGAGGCTATCTTGCTGGGTCTGATGGACAGATTGGGGAGACGCTGCAGCTATTCCCAGAGGGAGCTCACCGGTAGGGTAATTCTGGCACAGCAGTTCTGGCAGCACGAGGGAAAAGGAGGGAGGAGGCAGGCGGGTGCCCCTAGCGGCAGCTCAACCGCCAGCACTCCTAAGTGTGGATCGCGGATCTCCAGGTCTTGCCTGGGACTGCCTGCAGGGAGGAAGTTGGCTATTCTGTGGGTTTGAGGAGTTTTCTCTCCCTAGTTTTTGTTCCATTGTCCAGAGCTTTAAGACCTGAGACCAGCCTTCCTCTGCTACACTAAAAAGTGAAGACACGTTTTGGTTTTCTGTTTCTGTGTGCCTTGCTTTGCTCAGCTCAGGAACTCTGGAGTGCTGCCTCCAGTGCTTTCCCAGAGAAGAACTTCAACCTGCTGCTACATGAATAATAAATTGTGGTCAAGCATAGCTTGGTAAATACGGACAGAAGGCTGGCATGTTCTCGCACACTTACTACCTTTGCAGTGGCACTGCCAGCGAATGGAGAACTGAAGGGAAGGCTGGGACCATTCCCTTGTGTTCTCCCGGCATCAACTTTCATACGCTTAGGCAGCAAGCAAGGCAGGTTGTCCAAATTTGGCAGACTGCCCTGATGAGGCCTCAGCCCCAGGTCTCTGCCAGGAGTGTTAGGCACGGGGAGGAAGGGGCAGTTGTGGAGAATACTGAGATGTGGGCCCTCTGTCTTTGCAGGCAATGCTGGCTACCGGCTCCCTCTCCCCGCCAGTTTCCCTGCAGGCTTGCCCCTTGGTGAGCAGCCCCCTGAAGGACAGTGGCAACATCGAGCAGAGATACAGATTGCCAGAAAGCTTCAGTGTATTGCAGACCAATTTCATCGGCTTCATATGCAGCAAGTAGGCATGGGGCCTTGGGGTGGGGTGGGGGGTCGAGAGTTCATTCTGCCCGGGGCTGGGGGGCTAGGGCCTCCCTCTGCAACTCTGCCTTGCCAGACCTCAAGGATGTGGTCCTGGAGTTTCGGCCTTGACTCTTGTGATTCCTGAGGACTGGGTAGGCCCTACTGGATGAGCACGCCTGCCCTCATCCCTGAGCTCCAAGTTTGTTATCTGCCCGCTCTTGGCTCAGATTCTGTAAGAGTGGTTTGTTGGGAGATGCTGCCATCCCTCTTTCCTGGAAAATGAGATGGCTTTTTGCAGCCTTGCTTGACCAACTCTGTCTTCTTGAGGCCAGGGCTGGGAGATTGTCCCTTGCCTAAGGGGAAGATTTTCAGGGTGCTGCGGTGAAAATGGACAGTTGGGGGTGCCTGGCTGAGGTGCAATGGGAACTGAATAACCAAGGTTGAGGGATGGGCCTGAGTGGGGGAAAGTGGTGGAACCGGTTGTAACCTGACACTTTCCAGCTGGGGAGGCTGCTCCTCATTGTCTCTGTCTGGGAACTGGGGCCTGGGACTCTGGAGAGTGTACCTCAGAGAGTCTCTCCAGACCCGAGGCCGGGCGCTTGGCCGGGTGCTTGGCCGGCAGCCTGGCACCAGCCCCGCCAGGGCGGGGCAGTCCGTGTCAGTCGAGCATGTGGCAGAGTCCGTCAACAAAGGCGGCGGCTGGCAGGCTCGTGCTGGAGGAGCAATCGTGCCACGGGCCGGAGGCTGCCCTGCTCTGCAGCCCTGTCTGGGCGCCCCCCAGGCATTTAACCCTTCCTCTGTGGGCTGACTTTCTGGAGGGCTGCCAAGGCAGGGAGAGGAGCCTGAGGCTGATCTCTGCTTGTACAACCACTGCTGAAGCGGAGGCACTGCACCTGGAAGTGAACACATTCCCTGCCTCTGGGACATTGTCCTTGGCCCGCGAGATTGTGTGCGTGCGTGCGTGTGTGTGTGTGTGTGTGTGTGTGTGAGAGAGAGAGAGAGAGAGAGAGAGAGAGAGAGAGAGAGAGAGAGAGAGTGTGTGTGTGTATCTGTATCTGTCTAGCAATCAGGCCAATAAATAACACCATGATTGGGCAAGACCCTGAGGTTAGATGGGTCACTTCAGGTGACCAGAGGACAGCTGTTGGTAGTAGTTGGTTTGACTTGAGGACCAGGGGAAGAGAAATTGACTTCGAGTCTCCTGAGAAGAGGCCACCAAGAGTTAGATATGGTCAGTGCCTTCTGCCGAGGGGTTCTGAAGGAAACTTGGATCTAGAACTGGCCCTGGTAGGCTCTCCCAGTCCCATAGTGATCAGGAAGGGAGGGTGGCCTTATGCTAGGATAATAAGGCAGCTTGGCCTCCTCTTCTGGCCCCAAACTCCAGTCTCTAGTCTGTCCTTTGATTTTTCTGTGGAAACTTGGCTTAGAGTTTCCCCTTCAGTCCATGTGTGGACTCGCTCTGATTCTTGATTTCTTTCCCTTGGCCTCCTTCCTGCCCATTCACTCTGCCCGGGTTGTTCCTGCGGCTGGGTCCAGCTCCCAGCTCCCAGTCCTGATGCTGGAGCTGATGGAGGCCACCGTGCCTCTGGGTCTCCCAGACTGGTCTAGAGGGCTGTTTGGAAGGCAGCTTTTTAAAATTTCCAACAGACCTCGTCTCTCTCGACAGGTGTTTCCCAGAATATTCCCCCATCGATGGGTGAGCTCCTTGGGGCTTGGGAGCCGGCTGGACAATAGGACTAGACCACAGCCCAGGGCCCTTTCTTCTTGACGCAGTCCTTAACAGGAGGAGGCGACCCTTATCCCAAGGCCTGACCCTGTCCTTTGCTGCTTGGCACCATTTCCCCGAGCCCAGGGCTGCCTCTTTGAGGCATGGTTCAGCCCTGGAGAGGATGCTGTCCTCTCAGCCAGAGCCAGGGCAGCCAGGTAGGAGGGGAGTAGAGCAGGAGAGCTCACTGTGAAAGAGTCTTCCCTGCTCTGCCCCTCACCCCACATTGGCTCCTGAGTTCTCTGTGCTCCTCATCTACCTGCCTACTTCTACCTTGCAGTGTTGGGAGGCTGGCCAGGGAAGCCTTTCTAGCTCAGAGCTGGGTTTCCCAAATTTTCCATGACAAAGAAGCAGGCCTTTTGTCTGTGGAGTCCTCTTGCTTAACACCCCCTCCTACCCACTCAGCCTGTTCACAGACCTTCACCAGGAGCTCACCCTGGGGGAAGGGCTAGGATAATGGCACACACAGGACCTTTTAGCAGCTAGTTTTAAATGAGTCATTTTCTGAACTTAATTATTACATAAACTACAGTCTAATATTTCATATCTAAAAAGTACTGCTGGCACTCCTACATTCTTATCCTTTATCTTCTTTCCCTTTTCCCCTCCCTCATCATTATAGGCAGGGAAACTGAAGCCCTAGTAAGGAAGTGGTTTGGGATTAAGTCTTTAGACTTTGAGTATATAAAATCAGAAACCCCAGGTTTAAACACCAGTTTTCCTGCCTACTAGCCATCAGGAAGTCACTTGACTTTGCAAAGCCTATTTCCTCTTCTGTAAATTTGAGCTAGTACCACAGAACTTTACTGGGAAGTTTAAGTGAGATAATACCTGTGAAAATTCCAGGCACACAGTAGGTGTTCTTTAATGCTTGTTTCCTTTTGTCTCTATAACCCTGACCAGTTCTCACACTTCTCACGCCACCCGTCACGCTCATCCCTGAGCTCCCCTGTACCTGCCATGTCCAGAGAAATCCGTGTCCAAGCTGTTCAGCTATGGACCTTGGCCTTGTACGTTCCCCTCAGAGAATCATGGGCATTCCTCGTCGTTGTAGGCTGAGTTTAGGGAGCCACGAAAGACAACCCAAGAGGTGGTCAAAAGTTGAGGGGGCCTGGGTATCTTCTTTCTCCTTGGATCTGGGATGGTTTCCCAGAGCCAAGCAGTGGCCATTCATCCCTGAGTCTTGTAGGGACCGTGAACTCTGTCTTTTGCCCCTGGTTTGAACCTCAGTTATTCCTTTTCTGTATCAGGGAAACCTTTTCCTTAGGAGATTTGGAGCCGAGGGAGAGGGTATGATGGTGGGGGTGGTGTGTTAGAGGATGGCATTGTGGCAAATCAAGTGCATCAGCGTGACCTGAGGTGGAAAAGATGTCGGTTTACGCTGGCCATAAGCTCTCCCAGCATATTTCTCAAAGAGCATGCAGGTCTAGCCTGGTGGTCAGTTCAGGGTGGCTCCCCTGGACCCACCAGCAAGGAGTCGGATGCTGGTCAGTGTCAGTGAGGTGCTTGCTGTCGGCTCTTTGCGTCTCCGAAGCAACAAGAGAGTTGAATGGAGGCAGAGTGAGTGGAGGTAAAAGCCTTCCCAAACCCAGTCACACACTCTACCTTCCTTTGGTAGGGCCTGGAGTAGAAGGGTCCCCTCTTCGCTCCTCTGTGAGCAGGTGGCCTCTCGTGGTCTGTTGACTGTGACCTCTATTGACCCAGGCTCTGTGAGGGTGCCTCCGTCCAGCTCCTGCAGGGAAGAGGAGGTGCAGGTTTGCTTCCTCCCTGAGCTCATGGCTGCTCTGGTCAGATGAAGTGAGCCCCAGCTTTCCTCCACCCCCCTGCCATCGTCTCCTGCGGCATGGGCCTAAGAATGGGCGTCCCCTCCCCTGGAGAGAGCCTCCTGTCCCAATGGCACTACCTTTAAATTTGTGGGGGTATTTTTGGACAATGTTAAGAAGCCAAGAACCCTCAAAAAAAAGTAGCTGCTGTAGACTGTTGAGTAAAGCTAAAGAAGGGTTGGAATTTTTCATGTTGGAAATGCCTTTTTCACTTGGACAAGGAGTGGCTCCATTCAGAGCAGTGAGATTTGGAAATTCCCTGAACAGTAATTAGACTTTCTGGAAAATGAAATCTGAGAAAATTTCAGCCACTCGGTTGAAACCATCTTTAGTTGCAATATCACAGAAAGGATCCTGGACTTAAGAGTCAGATCCCGGTTCAAATCCCATCTCTGTCACTTACAAGTCCTATATTCATAGGTAAATCATTTCTCTTGAGCCTTGGTTTCTAATATTTACCTTGCAGAGCTGATGTGAAAGCCCTTTAGAAACTGTAAGACATATAACTATTAAGGAATGGGCAGTTTAACACTCTTTGAAATGTGTTAAGAGATGATTTTACCTCTTTTGAGGAAAGCACCTAGAAGGTTTGGAAAAAGAGGGTTTAACAAGTGAAATGACCAACCATTCTGCCTCTAGACTTTTCCAGCCCATCGTTCTGCCCTCGATCCTGAACGGGAACTGATCCACGGGCCAGGCTTCCTGCCTCTGGTCGGTTAGCCCTACAATCCACCCTCAAGAAAGTCTATTCCATTGCTGGTATTTGTCCTGATTAAAAAGTAGCAATTGCTGACAACCAAGAACCAGTTCAGCCCTGAGTGGGTTTTTCTAATGATTCCAGCTGAGTTTTACTTCAGTCCCTAGTTTACTCGTACCCCCACATATATGGACAAATCCTAATTGCTTATAGCTCCTCCATTCCAAGACTGGACATAGAGAGACCAGAATTACTTAAATTTAATGATGATTTGATATACAACATAGCATAAAATTATTCAGGCTGTAGGGGAAAGCAGAATTTAGGATTTCGCTTGGACCTGCCTTTAGAGTTCTTGGGGAGCTCTGTGGGCAGGTGTACCCAAGGTGTGGTTTGCATGGTTTATTAGCTAGCAGCTTCTCTGCCAGCAGCCTGGATCCTTTGTCCAGGGAGCCCCTGACTGCTTCCTGACCCATTAGGATGCTGTCCTTGTTATTAACTGGTTTTCTGGAGCTGAGACTGTGGCTAGTGAGGTTGTTCAGGCTTTAGATGGGACAGCCCTGGGCAGGAGCCCCAGAGATTTGCCTTAAAGTGAGAGGGGCCCCAACAAGCCGCCTCTGTCCCAGGAGTGGGAGGTCCACCTAGGACAGTGCCTGGAAGTGTGAGGCTGGGGGAGGGGCTGTGGAAAGCTGCTGTGCGTGAGAGCCAGTGCA